TTATCACGGGTCTGGTTTTGAGGCCAGTTTTTGTGGCCTGCAGAAGTGTTGCATATTGAGTCTATCGATGGTACTTGAGTATTAAAGATCGTAAAAGTAATTTATTTTCAAAAAATAGGCTTTTCAAAAGCTCTTTCACACTACCTTTGCTTTGAATCTGTCATTTATTATTTGGTTATGTCACAGTGAATTACATAAGGCTGAGTTGCACCACCTAACTTTGACCATAACTTTAACGATAACCGGTGTTTTTTGGATGGAGTTTGACAGATTTTTGACGTTTGTCAAAGTTAAAGTAAGATGGTGCAACCCACCCTTAATGACTACCTATTTTACTGTTACGAAAAATACAGAGTAGTAGATTATTTTGTAAAAAGAATATCGGCAATTTACAAATTACTAATTATCACGATACGATAGCCCCTCATGGTAAGCTTAAATATGCTTGTGTTACGTGTGGGTTATTAAATTTTGAGTTGATATTTTTTCAGTACTTCCAACTATCAAATATCGATAGATACGCATCACTAGACGGTAAAGTTTGGTTTTGCAGTTGACCTGAGTTTGCTATCATGAAAAATGTAATTCATCGTGTGTCTAGTTTAGTTTTTAGTTTCATATAGGAAGTGGAACTACTTACTTATCTACAGGATGGCACAAAATTTTACTATTATGAAGTTGCTAGGTTCCTATTTTGGTCTCTCTTTTGTGATAATTGATAGCGCCATCTGCCCTTATTTCTATAAATGAGCAACAGAGACTGCGAAATGAATTAAAAAATACGACTACATCCGAATTAACCCGATCACGTCACTACTAATTGGGTACTGACAAACCGGTTCGCTTTTCAAATTGGCGTTCCGTTCGATTTAAAACTACCCGTCCATTAACGGTCGCACGACAATTCGACAGCCAATTAACTTTTCACCCTGTATAACTTCATTGAATGTTGATGTAGGTGTTTACACTGAACGATGTGAGTGACACTTTTAATAATGCAGTCACAAGGTACAGTGTGGCAGCATGTCAGGCTTTGTGATATTTCCACGAAACGATGTGAGTGACGCTTTTATTAATGTAGGTAGCGGTCTTGCGAATGACTCAGTCAGCGCCTGAGGCATGGGAGGGTGTTTTTGTAGACGTTAAACGTCAGCGAGACTTGAGATTCGTATGGTCTGTCACGTCATTTATGTCAGTCTGCCTGCCGTGCCGCTACCTACCTCAGGTACTCACTCAATAGGGATGTTTCCTCGGTCAAAAAGCAAGAGTTTTAATTAGTCCGTCAGTTAACTTATCAAAAAATACTCTACACGTATTTTTCACTTTTTCAAACTAATGAAAATTTAAAGAGATAAAGCGCGCCAAAGTTCATAAGAAGAGGCCCGTAACGTCAATGCGTGCATAAAAGTGCCGCACGTTGTGACGTCGTGCGGAACTTTAACGCACCATAACTATGTAATTATTTGTTAGATTGACCAATAAAAATATATGTGTCCAATATTTTTTGATATTAAACATGACGGACTAAAAAATTTTTATAGGATACTAGCCTATTAAAATGTTTCGTTTGGCAGTACATCAGGTTCACACTATTGATGCGAAATTGCACAGAGTGGCAGCTGTATGAGACTTTTATATTAAAAAGGTTAAAGGTCAGTTTACGTCATTCTGACGGTAGGTAGATAGGTACTTCCTGACATTCACTAAAATCGTGCCATCTAAAAGCCGTTAATACTCTCAGTGATGTTAAGGGGAATGTACACGCTGAAGTCAACTGAGCGTCAGTTCACGGGTGGAAAGTGAATTTAATTGGCACGGCACATCAAGTTTAATGGATTAGGCCCAGAACAGACGGTGAAACGCAACTGCAACGAAACTGCAATTTTCTGACGATTCTGATGAATGAAACTGAAACTGAAAGTTTCAAACTGGTCGCGTCATGTGCGGTCTCTCAACGGACGCTATGGCAGAAACTTAGATGCAACTCAAAAGTAACGTTGCAGTTTCGTTGCAGTTGCGTTTCACCGTCTGTTCTGGGCCTTAGGTGTGATTTTGCAAAAACCATATGTAAATTCTCAGGCGGCTAATTAGTTCTGGATAGAAATGAGAAATGAACATGAGACAAAACAATGTTTCAGATCAGTCAACGTTAAATTATGAACTTCATCAGTTTATAATATAACGCGTGACATTGTAAAATAATAGTGGATTTGATTAGGTTAGGCTGTAATCTAGCTACGTCAGATTATAATTTGACGGAATTCACAGTTTTACGGTGAGATTTATACCTAGTGACTTTTTTCGATGAATTTTTATACATGCAAAATGTGAATTAACTTTAGTCTGTTTTTGCTTACTTATTTCATCATTTCAACTCATTTAAAACTAGTAAAGTTGTTTATAAGCAACGAGCAGGTTCCTAACCTAACCTAACGACTTAATAGAGTTGGGCTCGTAAACATCAATTTTTCACTCGCATGCTGTAACAAGACTAAAGCGGGGCGGCGTGACTAGTTTGTATCAGAACTACATAAATACTTAGGCCGAGTTCCACCACCTAACTTTAACCGTAACTACAACAATAACCAGTGATCTTTGTATGCAGTTTGACAGATTTTTGACGTTTGTTAAAGTAATGGTGCAACTCAGGATTAGAGTTAGTAACTTCACAAAGAGAGGCTACTACCGTATTCGCGAATAAGGTCCTGTCACTCGCTTGTATGTACTAAGTAGGTACTAGGTATAATTATTATATTTTTCGTAACCTTTAAGAGCAACGATTGTTTGTTTCGCGACATTACATTTAAATTTTTATACAGTATTTTAGAATTTAATCAAGATGAATTTAAAATTTTATAGAGTTTTATTGCATGAAGAATATGCATTCTTCTAAAATGACACTACCTAGTTTAGAAACTGACTGTAAATATAGTTTTGTCATGCACAATCCCTTGCACCAATTCGCTTCTGTGTCTTCTCCTATGACGTGCCATGTCATACATCACATCGTGCCATTGCATGTATTTGTCTTCAAAACAATCCCATGCCAACAAGACCCGTAGATGGCGTACAAAACAACACAAATGTCGAACATAATCCAGAATATCAATGCTAACGACGGGCTTTTGTTACGAAAAAACAATTGAATACATTCGCAATCCGATTTCGGATTCATTCGATGTCGAAACACATTCAAGTAACAATGACACAAATCAAAAATGACAAAGTCTACACCAGTACAATTGTTACATTCACTATCAATTTTGTGGGATACAGCTTGATACATCGAGGTTTTTTTATGACATATTAAAGCCGCATACAGAAAGAAAGCTGGAAACTTATAAGCGCTTACCAGCGCTTGTCAGCGCTGGTCCGTTTGTTCACAAAGGAAGCAAGTTGAATTTCATTTTATATGGCATCGTCCAGCGCTGACCAGCGCGTGTTGAAACTTGTCGGCGCCGTTCAGTGCTTATCGGCGCGCGTTCATATATTTTCCTGTGCGGGTTACCAGCGCTGTCAAGTGCCGTAAGCGCTTATAAGTTTCCAGCTTTCTGTATACAGCCTAAGGTAACGTAATGATATTTCATGAATTTCTAATACGTGGTTAAGCTTAACGATAAGACCAGACCATTGACCAGAGGCAAACGAATCATTTGCCCTACACTTGGGTTTGAAGACGCCTGAGGTTCGCAAATTGTTCCTTAGTCGCTTTTACGACACCCCCGGTCTAGAAATGGACCTATTACCGGTATTATCCTAAATTAGTCAGGAATCAAACCATTAATTATGACGACAACAAATATTTCTTAATCTATTCCTGATTTTCTGACGCTAACTTAATACTCACTCGAAATAAACACATTAATTTGGCAAATTCGTTATGAAGAAAAACGTGGCAAATTAATTTCAATAATAAATAGTCTGGTATTGAGCACACGCCACGTGGGTTAATTAAACCTCGCAAATGAAAGTTCAGGGGCAAATATCAAAGAGAACAGTTAAAACAATTCACAAAACATTTTTTTAACACTCTTCCAGGTATTATTTCTTATTAATAAATAGCGTCAAACGAAGTCAAATGTCACGTAAATTTTTTGGGTGCTCGATAGATGGCTTCAGAATTCAGGGTTTTCTGAGTAGGATGCATGAGTCTATCGCCCGTATTCACAAACATTACTATGGGGTCTCACAGAGCGCGTGGACGCACAAGGTGACACATGAACCAATCCCAGAGCTCTATTCAACACTGTGCGTTCAATTCGCTGTTTCACTTAAGCAAGCGTTTGTGAATACGGGCGTATTTCTCAGCTGCTCTCACGAAGGATCCGTAACAACACTTCAAAGTCTTTCATAGGGTAGGTAAGGTAGGACTAACTTATATCTAGGACTTGAATAAGTGTGCTGTTTTATTTCTTTAGACTATGCAGGTTCTGACATGTCTGCTGGAAGTAATTAGTGCAAACGATTACTGCTGACTTATCCACGATTGGGTTCCGTTTATATTGCTGGCGATAAAATTTTATGTCCCTGTCTAGTTAGTTTTCTTACGGTCATAGCAATGAAATCTTTATATTAGTGGATATCATTTCGGAACCAATGTTAGAATTAATGATGCTATAGTGGTTGTTCGTGGTTCCGCTCGCATAAAATTTATTTCTTCTAGAAAAATATTTAGAAGCTGTTTTCGATTTTATTTTTGACAGTGACCTACTTCATATTAAAGATCAAACGACATAAACACTTACTTTGGGACTAGATGGCGCTGTGTTATTATTATTATTGTGCTTTTTTAGACTAGAAATTGGAACATCCATTCACGTAGCCTCTCAAAGAATATAACTTTACCATAATAGCAACTGTAAGAAGTTAATATAAATGTATAACAGACAACGGCACATAAAGTCATACACTATTGCACTTTATCACAGTTGTAATAGACACTATTTTGCAACAAAAATGCATAACCTGATGTGCTGTCAACTATAGAAAAGTGTACTAACCTGCGACTTCTCCGCGTAGTACACCAAACTCGCGAAAATCACGATACCTAGCACCAAGAAAAACACCAGCAGCGTCAGCTCCTTAGCTGACGCCTTGAAGGTGTGCACCAGGATCTTCAAGCCAGGGCTGTGCCTGGTCAGCTTGAAGAGCCTCAGGATCTTTATTATCGATATGAACTCCAGTATGTCCGCCTTATCGACATATTGCCGCACCACAGTCAGTTCTACCACTACGTCCATGTAAAAACTAAGTGTCGCTATAAAGTCTATAATGTTCACTGGCGATTTCACAAACTCTATTATGTTGGGGGCTACCTGCAACAAAGAGAAGAGAGTTAATTAAAATGTTCATTATGCTCATAAATCTAAAATGAATTTCATAAATATGAAAAAATCATAAAGTTAGTTACAAAGTTAATAAGTGTTTCGGTTTCTGGCCCGTCATAACGGTCAATTCAAAATAATCAAATAAGGAACATAATAATATGGTCCTTCGAGCTGGACATAAATCCTGTAGAATCTGTAGATTCTTGATTAACGTGGGAAATAAACAATAATGTAATTTTTGCTCTCTTTTTTTCAGGTAAGCAATCTGAAAGGCGCAAAATACAGACTTGATGTACATCACGGTAAGTACACAATGTTGTTCCTTATCTACTTTTGTTTGTGTGATTATTCAAATTTATTCAATACAAAAACTCTGTACATTTAGCACGCCTACAACTTGTGTCCGCCATTTCAATTCTTTTGTAGCCATGAGGTTTTATTGGCCTATTAAACCTAAGCATTTTAGATCTAAACTTTCGAGACAAAATAAACTTGATTGCGTATTAGAATTCAGAATGTTTTACTTCAACTGAAATTGGAAGGGATCAACCTGAAAATGGACCAAAATACTAACAATTTGTTCAATTTCAAGATAAGATTTCCCCAAAGATATAACATCTGGCATTGCAATAAATTGTGCTTGCCATGCTGCGCTTTTTGATATTAATCTAGAATTCTAGATCTGGCCTGTTAGGAAACCTCTCTAAAGCTGTCTGAAATTTCAGGACTATTTTCTAGAACGTTATTAAAGTTTCGAATATATCCATCTTTCTTGCGCAAAGCAAAATGCTAGCATGAGCGACAATGACAGATATAATTTACCTACCCCAATATACGTAAGCAGACTTAACAATAAAATACACATTACGTTGCAACAATTAATTCACATGAATGACATCTGGAAAAGAGATTAACTATAAGAGTATGCGCACACCGTTGATTTTTAGTTGGCCGATAGTTGTGCCCGATTTTAATTTGTATGAAGAATCGGCCAAATCGAATCGGCGTAGTGTGCGCACTCCCATACATGCCCATACTGATCAACTGCCCGACTAAACTATCGGCCGACGAAAAATCAACGGTGTGCGCCTACTCTAATAGCGCCTAAATTAATACTCATTTCTAAGTCTAGGCGCAGTCCATCGACTTTTAGTTGGCCGATAGTTGGGCCCGATTTTAATTTGTATGAAAAATCGGCTGATAGCAAATCGGTGTAATGTGCGTACTTTCATATTTTATATCTCCACTAGCTTTCCGCCCGCGGCTTCGCCCGCGTGGAATTTTGTCTGTCACAGAAAAACTTTATCGCGCGCGTCCCTGTTTCAAAAACCGGGATAAAAACTATCCTATGTTCTTTCCCGGGACTCAAACTATCTCTATGCCAAATTTCATCAAAATCGGTTGCGAGGTTTAAGCGGGAAAGCGTAACAGACAGACAGACAGACAGACAGACAGACAGACAGACAGACAGACAGAGTTACTTTCGCATTTATAATATTAGTTGGGATACTGATTAACAACCTGATCCAACTATCGACCAACTAAAAACTAAAAACAACTATTAACCGTAACTATAACGATAACCGGTGTTTTTTGTATGGAGTTTGACAGTTTTTTGACGTTTGTTAAAGTTAAAGTAATATGGTGCAACCCAGGCTTAAATTAATGCAACAACATTTCAATCACAATTTAATCAAATCATAAAACATGTTTAACGCTACGCCCCGGAAACTAAATACCAGCTGACGTCCACAAAATGGCCGCGCCGTTCAAAATGGAAGTCCCTTGCCAAAACGTTCGTTTCATTGAATTTTCAACCGACTTCTGTATAACTTATTAAATATCAAACAGTTTTGTACCCTATTTTAAGAGTGATAAGGATCGTGTTACATTTCCCGATTTCATACATTTGGCGAACCTCCAAAAATTCAGTTAGTTCGTGCCTTTTTAAGTCTGAAACATTTTAGCGCCTAAGTCCTAAAATTTGGTTTAGAGCCGTAAATTTTTGGGTTTATAAGAGAATTATGAAACAAAACTTGCGGGTTGGATGTTGTAGCGTGGAATCCATTATTTATTGAGATCGGGGAAAACATTTCTTCCCCTCTGTTTGTGTGGATTGCCCGCGGCTTATGTTTTGTTTCTCGGGTAAATTAATTGCCTAATTGATTACAAAAGTTCTAACATTCCAAGTTAATAACGACTCGCTGCGACAACCAACGGATTAGGTTCGGACTGTTGATTATAAAGAATGCTATTTCTCTAAAAAGCACAAATATAGTTATTCCTGTATCTAAAGCGCTCGTTGGGCTTTAGATTATAGGAATAATAGTCTTGTGCTTGGAATAAAGGAATTGGCGATTTGTAATTTATTATTTTATAAAAATATAGATATTTATGATTTCGATTTTGATTTTAGCTTATCCGGGAGGGATTAACGGGAATCACTGAAAAATATTAGGAAAGAAGTAAATAATTATATTATAAGATCAAGAAATATCAAATAATAAATTAATGAGGCTTATGATAGGCGTCAGACATTTATTAATTTATTGTTAAAAAAACAGGCATGCACGAAGTTAGGCACATCTACGAGTGTGTAGTATTTGTTTGCATGTAACACGTCTTATGTATCAAAGTCAAAATTTCTTTATTTGTATAGACTATTATATGTAGTATAGTGCTTACAATTCGTCAAATATTTTGCTCTTAAAGAGCCTCTACATGTCTCATAATCTTTTTACCCTACCAGCGCTTCGAGACCAACATTTGGCAAGTGCTGAGAACGTATCGTAACGTATAATACTATACAAATATACCACCCATCACTAGTATACTCTACCCTCAACTACACGGTCAATAAATACAGTAAATAATTATAATAAATTGCCCGTGAGACCACAAAACGGGAAAAGGTCAAACCCCGACCCGTGTCGAGCAAAAATCTTGCCAACAGGATATGTAAACAGCTGGCCAACCTTCCTACCCTACCCTTTTCGAGTTACACGCCTAGAGCCGGGGTTTCCCCGAAAGATCTGTCATAATACACGAGTTCAGGGAAAAGAGGTGTACTTACAAAACAAACATTTTAAGACTTACGTCTAGTAAGAAGAGGTGTTAAGATTAAAAATTCATTTGTTTACAGTAACTTTTCTCTTTTTTTGACTATCGCAGGTTTCAAAAGATACTTTTATCTATGGTTTTGTGTAGTCAAGTCGAAGATATAATCCTTAATTACGCAAATACCTGCAGTCAATTAATTCAGCGTCTTTTCAAAGAAACATTCTTGCCGAACTTTTGAATATTTCGAACTGGTAACATAAGTTTAAGAATTATTAAACATAATACTAACTATTACACAAATAATTATTTAAATATGTAACATCTTATGAATGCAGGCGTAAAAATATATCACTCATGGTAATTTATTATTGAGTTTTCCATTTTTAAAAGACTAATGACTAATGTCAGTTTTCACCATCAATCCCTAATTTTTAAGTGACCCCTATGACAACAAAATTCCTGTTAGGGGTCACTTAAAAATTAGGGATTGATGGTGAAAACGGACATAAAATGTTTAAAAGGTTTTCTGGTTTCTATATTTTCTCTTCTACAATTTTATTTATGTTTTCTCTTTATTTAAAAGGTCAACGCTGCTACCCAAGCAGCAGCCTCAGGGTCCATACCGATCACAATCGACGATAATGTAGTATAATTATGTATGAAAAAACCTCCGAAATTAGGCGCGTGCTCATGACTCGCTGAGTGGCCGAATGTTGTGAACAGGTCACTAATGAATACAACAGCTCAAATATAACAGAAAGACCGCAATTTATTTTCATTGAAAAGTATTAATTTACTGAAGACATTCATTAGGCATACAATCAAATCAAATCGTGTATTTATGCATATAGGCTCCCAAAGAGCACTTTTATACGTCCTAACCCTACAGCAGTGGAAGGGTTTGAGACAATAATATGGGCCAGTGTTGAGAAGAAGCAGCGCAAAAATCTCAGTCACTATGAAACTTTATGTATGTTAAATGCATTTAGATTATTATCAAAGTGTCATGTAAAAACTTCAAACTAAAACTTTCCCTGTTTCATTACAGATCCTTTAAGAAAAGCTGTTTGAAATTCATTTAGCTCTAATTTTTCATTCATCAGACTACAACTACAACTGAAGAATAAACTTGTAATTTTCACTGTATATTTCCCATATTGAACTGTCAATGTCCTAAAGTTATTTTTCAGTTAAATACTTTCCGACAGTTGAATAATCAGCCCTTAGAGACATAGAGTACGATTAAAGTGACCTCATAATATTGAATGACCTGGTGTATCTGTTCGACCTGTGGTTATGGGCTCGTTACTGAAAAAGCCGGACAAAATGGCGGTAGATATTAACTTTTTAACTTGTGTTTGCTTTTCCAAGGAACATGGAATAAATCAGTGTCTCTTACATACACTTTGGCAGAGTTTCTCTTGCCCTTACGTACGTAAAAGAGACATAGTTTTTTCTTATCTGAGTATGTCTTAATGTGTAATTTTGGGATAAAAGACTACTTTCTATCTGCGAGAATGCGTAATAAATAACAGTAACTTGCTACTCAATACACTCGTATTGTTTAAGCAAGTAAAGCCACGATCATAACTCAGTTCAACAGATTTTTAAATGTTTCAGTTTTTCTCGCTGTACCGTTAGAAATAGCAAAATTCAGTTTGCTCTTTGAAAAATGGAGATGGAAATGACATTAAAATATCATGGACGTGACCGTGGATGTAACAAACGTGACTCGAGTCTCAAAACTAACTCTATTTGGTGATATTTCTTGATATGACACGAGGTTACGGATGAATAACTGAGCAATACAGCTCTCTGAGACTTATATAGGCACATAATATTGTGCCCAGTTATGAGCTAACTTGGAAATAGGTAGGATATTTTTTAAAAAGAATATCAGTTTTTTTTCTGACAAATAATATTTTTTT